TATTTTGTTTCAGATCTCTGAAGTAGCACCTCCAGCTACTTGGTTCTCAACTCTGCCCTCCTGTTTAGATGGCTTCTTTGATTTCAATCCTAAGGGAGGTGCACATCCTTACACTCGAATTCTCCAGGCCCATACAAAAAACCAGGGTGGTTCTATGTTTGCCCAGGGCCTGGAACTCCAAAATACAAGTCCCAGAGAAACAGGTATGGAGGGGATAGCACTACTTATTGTGCTCGCTGTGGGGCTGTGAAACAATGGGACACATATGGTGGACCCCCCCCCCCCAGGGAGGAGATCTTATTAAGGTAACATGGGAACAATCAATACCCACTATCAATCCCTCCAGAGTCTGGGTGATGAAAAACATGGGATGAGGGAGTGCCCATGATTGGGCCCCCAAGGTACTAGTCAGGGGGGGAATGAGAGACCTGAGTGACTCCATCTTGGATAAAACCTCCATGGGACTCACCCAGCCCTGAGCCCTGTTCCAGGAAAAACCGCACACACACAAAAAAAAAGTATACTTGGAATGGATAGAGAACAACTCCCCCACTAATGGTCAATTAACCAAGGACAGAAAAGCACTAAAAGTCCAGATGTCTTTTTAAATTTCCTGAAGCCAGCAGTTTATGGTTTGGCAGTGGGCTGCAACCAATCAGATGTTTGCCAGGCTGGAGATCCCCTACTCCCCTACTTACTGAACTTGCTGAAATAAACCTATAAAAACCTCTGTCTCTCAAAGCAAGGGGTCTCACATCTGAGATCCGCTAGGTCGGTGACAGAGTGGACCCAAGTTTAAGCTTGTAACAATAAAAAACCCTTGTATGTTTGCATCGGTCGGCTCTTTGGTGGTCTTTGGGGTCTCGTAAACTGGGCACAACAATAGCTCACAAAGTAGATAGCCCAGGCATGGGACAGGACATCTGCACCTTTTGATCAATAGCTAGGCCAGGCTAATTGGGCTAGGAATCAGTCAAATGGTCATTGCAATTATAAAAACAGGTATCATTGGCAGAAATTTATGTATCTGTCATATTTGATTTACACTTTTTTGTTGTTGTTGTCTTTTTTGAGACAGGATCTCCTTGTAGCCCCAGCTCTCCTGGAACTCACTATGTAGACCAGGCTGGCCTGGAACTCACAAAGATCCACCTGCCTCTGCCTCCCAAGTGCTGGGATTAAAGGCTTGTACCACCAAGCCCGGCCTTTGACCTACACTTTTGATGGACTAATTGGACAAAGTGCTTCATTAAATTATTTGGTGAACTTCTATTTTCTTAGTTTCACATCTTCATCAGCAGTTAGACATGGTGAGTGGGAAGCAAGAACTTCAAGACATTACAGAGTAAAAAACATCTCAGGGGGCTGGAGAGATGGCTCAAGGGTTAAGAACACTGGTTGTTCTTGCAGAAGACCCGGGTTTGAATCCAAGCACCCACATGGCAGCTAGCAACTGTGTGTAACTCCAGTCCCAGGGGATCCGACAGCCTCTTCTGACCTCAGCAGGCATTGCAGGATATGGGTGCACTTACCTACATGCAGGTAATACACGCATACACATACAAAAAAAAAAAATCTCAGGGTAGCGAAAACATTACTGAGTAGTAAAACACCACAGAGTTGCATTTCAAAGTATCTACCTAGTAAGTAAAACAAAAGGAAACTACAAAATAGCTTAATAGAAGATTATACAAGAATACAGTCATAAGACTATAACTTCTGGCCAGGCGTGGTGGTGCATGCCCTTAGTCCCAACACTCGGGAGGCAGAGACAGGCAGTTCTCTGTGAGTTCAAGGCTAGCCTGGTCTATCTACATAGTGAGTTCCAGGCCAGCTGGGGCTATGGGGAGACCCTGTCTCAAAAAGACCCCCCTCCAAAAAATTCACTTAAAAGGAAACCACATTACAAAAACCATGTATTGCCTGCCTGTAGGTAAGTGCACCCATGTCGTGCAATGCCCATGAAGGACAGAAGAGGCTGTGGATCCTCTGGAACTGGAGTTATGGACAATTTTGCCTTTATGGTGGACAACAAAGCTATCTATGACATCTGTTGGCACAACCTGGACATCGAGCTTCCCACATACACCAACCTTAATCATCTGATTGGGCAGATCATGTCCTCCATCACAGCCTCCCTGAGGTTCAATGGGCCCTAAATGTAGACTTGACAGAATTCCAGACCAACCTGGTCCCATAACCCCTCATCCACTTCCCACTGTCCACCCTGGTCATCTCTGCTGAGAAGGCCTACCATGAGCAGCTCTCCGTGGTTGAGATCACCAATGCCTGCTTTGAGCCAGCTAATCAGATGGTCAAATGTGACACTCGTTGTGGCAAGTACATGGCCTGCTGCATGTTGTACAGGGGGGATGTAGTCCCAAAAGATGTCAACGCAGCCATTGCCACCATCAAGACCAAGCACACCATCCAGTTTGTGGATTGGTGTCCAACTGGATTTAAGGTAGGACTGGGTGCTGTGACGTCACTGTACTTTCTGCTGTATAATCATGCTGCCCCAGGTATAGCCTTGAGAAAGAATGCCCCTTTTCACATTAGGCCACAATAAAGCATGTGTAATAACTTGTTAAGTGATTTACACTTTTCCAAATATATGATGTGCCCTTTTTCTTGCAATTACTTTTTAAATTCATGGGTCATATGAGAATACTGAGGCGCACCTTTAGGTGTCCCAAGCTTTTTTATGATGGGGAAGAAAGTTCAGTGGTGATACGACTCCACCCCTGGTTTCACATCCTGGTTGCTCTATTGCTCATTTTAGAGGGACATTTGTCAGGTTCTCTTTTAGAAATGGCAGTCTAGGGGCTGGAAAGATGGCTCAGTGGTTAAGAACACTGGTTGTTCTTGCAGATGACCTGGGTTCAAATCCCAGCACAGCTAACAACTGTCCATAACTGAATGGCAGCTAACAACTGTCCGTAACTCCAGTTCCAGGGGATCTGACAGTGTCTTCTCTCATTTGCGGGCATTGCAGGACACGGGTGCACTTACCTACACGCAGGCGATACATGCATACACATAATATAAAAATAATAAAGAAAATATTTTTTAAGAAAAGAAGAAAGAAAAAAATGGCGGTCTAGCTGGGCTGTCTTCCTAGGTCCTGTTAACTGCCATCTGCTCACCAGAGCAGGGAAAGGTCACTCACCACCTTAGCATATTCTCAGGTGTTTACCCTCCTTCAGCTCTAACATGTACTTTGCCTAGTTTACTATTTTTTTTTCTACATATAAATACATTTCTAATTGATTTTCTTTTTACAAAGTCTAAGGTGTATCTTATTTATATAACAGGATACTCTTCATGTGTTACACTGTATGGATGTGTGACAATTTAAATGGTTCTGTTTCCAGTTTTGCCATTAGTGATTCAAGTACAATCTTTTTAAAAAGAAATTACTTTATCTGTATGAGTGTATTGCCTGCATGTATGTAAGTGTACCTGTGTTATGTAATGTCCGCAGATGTCAGAAGAGGGTATAAGATCCCAACCATGTGGATGCTGGGAACCAAACCTGGGTCATTTGCAAAATCAGTCAGTGCTCTTAACCACTGAACCACCTTTCCAGCCCAAGTACATACAGTCTTATAGGTTGTTTTATGTTCTGTGTGGGTGAATCTAAAACATGAAAATTTACAGAGTTGGGGCTGGAGACATGGGTCAGCGGTTAAGAACACTGGTTGTTCTTGCAGAAGACCTGGGTTTGAATCCCAGCACCCACAGGGCAGCTAACAACTGTCCATAACTCCAGTCCCGGGGATCTCACAGCCTCTTCTGACCTCCGTGGGCATTGCACAACACAGGTACACTTACCTACATGCAGGCAATACACGCATACACATAAAATAAAAATAATAAAAGTAAAAAAAAAAAAAAAAAGAAAATTTACAGAGCCAAAGAATATAAAATGTGCCAGGTGTGGTGCTGTACCCCTTTAGTCCCAGCACTCAGGAATATAAAATATTGGTAATTTTAAAAACTATGGTGCTAGTTTAAACTGCATCTCCAGCTCCCAAATCTTTTTGTTTTGTTTTTGTTTTTGAGACAGGGTCTGCAGCTCCAACTGGCCTGGAACTCACCATGTAGACCAGTCTGACCTTGATCTCACACAGTTCTGCCTGCCTCTGCCTTTCAAGTGCTGGGTTTAAAGGCATGGGCCACCTTGCCCTGATACAGTCCCCAACTTTTACCAAATTTCTAAATTTCACTGTATTCTCCCCTTCTTTGGTAGGAGGGCATTAACAACCAGCCTCCCACCGTGGTGGTTCCCGGGGGGAGATCTGGCCAAGGTGCAGCGGGGAGTGTGCATGCTGAGCAACACTACTGCCATCACAGAGGCCTGGGCTCGCCTGGATCACAAGTTTGACCTATTGTATGCCAAAGGGGCCTTTGTGCACTGGTACGTGGGAGAAGGCATGGAGGAGGGGGAGTTCTCTGAGGCTTGGAGGACCTGGCACCGCTGGAGAAAGATTATGAAGAGGTGGGTGTGGATTCTGTGGAAGCAGAGGCAGAATACTGAGTGCAGGGGTGCAGCTGGCAACCACCCCGTTGTTATCTCCGCGCCACTGTTAAGATTACAGGATATATTTACTTATTAAAGTTTCTGTATTACCTTATCTGTGTACTGTTCTTTTAGAGACATTAATAGGGATGTCTGTATGCTCAGTTAAAAGCTTCTAACTAGATACGGGAATTAGGATAGCATTTTATTTTAAATTGAAGAGCGAAGTCCCTCACACCATGCTTCACTGACTAACCTTGAAAGTGTCTTTCCTCCCTGTCTTGTGCGAGGGCGGGTGTTTGTGTGTATGCAGCGTGTATCCAAGGGCTGTGGAAACTCGGTTTCTGACACTTCACTTCTACAAGATGTCATTAGCTTTCCTCCTTGGCCGTTACCTTCCTTACGGATGTAAACATCCTACCCATCCCATGTCCCCAGATTGTGCCTGAGTCACACACGCCTTTTTTCTTTTTTAATATTTATTATTTTTATGTGTATGTGTGTATTTTGCTACATGTAGGTACGTGCGCCCCGGTCGTGCAATGCCCGCCGAGGTCAGAAGAGGGCATTGGATCCCATGGAACTGGAGTTAGGGACGGTTAGCCACCGTGTGGGTGCTGGGAATCGAACATGGGTCCTCTGCAAAAGCAACTAGAGCTCTTAACCGCTGAGCCATCCCTCCAGCTCCACACTCGCCTTAAGACACACCCCCACTGCCCACCCCCATCCTGGTATGTAAGTTGTTTTGAGTACTGGTCTTGGGTTCCTCCATGCAACAACCAGGTAGGGTTTTCTTCGCAGGATATCAGCTTACGAGGTCCCCAGAGCCCCACAGTCCCGCACACAACCGCTCCATCCCGCGACCTCGGCCAGGCCCCGCCCTCGTATACACAAACGAGCCACGTAGACAACAGTATTACCCAGAGCGCCCTCCCAGCATCCGGTACCCACCCACTAGGCGCTCTTCCGGTTCCGCCCCTCGGGGCGACCACGGCTCGCTGCCCCTGTCTCTATGCTACCAACTTCCGCCGCGATCCACCTATCGCGGGACTTTGGCGGCGCAGCAATGGCAAGGCTGTGAGTGCAGCTGATGGGAGTCTAGAGGACTGGCTGGCACGGGATTGGGACACATTGGGTTGCGGGAGGCTGTACAGGCCCAGGCCCTGGCCCTCTGGAGGGAGCGGCGGCTGGGGGCGCGAAGCCAGTGCTACCCCCAACGGCCGCCCGCGACCCAGATCCCGCCCCTTCCCCAGATGCCGCGACACTGCTCCGCCGCCGGCTGCTGCACACGGGATACGCGCGAGACTCGCAACCGCGGCATCTCCTTCCACAGGTCAGCGCGCGTGCGTGGTGGCTAGCCGTGCTTCCTTGCGCAGGCATTGGCGTTGCCAGCACGTTAGGCCGTACCGGAGACGGCGCCTTCCTCAGGTCCGGGAGAGGCTTGCAGTGTGAACGGGCGGGTGAAAGGGGTCTGAGCCGGAATCTGAGTCCAGCCCCGAACCGGACGGGACGTGTACCTGGCTTGGACTCTCACTGACTTTTTCCTGCTAGATGATGCTGAGCAGACCTCTTGGCCTCGGTTTCCTCTCCTCCCAACCGGGTGGTAGTCTGGAAGGGTCGCGAGGAGGTTTGCCCTTCTGTCTTGGGGAGCTTGGGTAGCATGAACGCAGGGAATTCGGTGCTCACGGCTTTGTGGCTCTGCAGACTTCCCAAGAAGGACAACCCGAGGCGCGGCTTGTGGCTGGCCAACTGTCAGCGGCTGGACCCCAGCGGCCAAGGCCTATGGGACCCGGCCTCTGAGTACATCTACTTCTGCTCCAAACACTTCGAGGAGAACTGCTTTGAGCTGGTGGGAATCAGGTGGGCCAATAACCTCAGGACAGGTTGTGGGGCATCAGAGCAGTGGGTAGAATGAGCAGCTAGCTCTAAAGTCCTTATGAGAAGGTCCTTGAACAGCTGGAATGAGCAGACAGGCAAACCTAGTGTCAAAGGTGCTGTTTCCTTTTCCAAGTTCTTCTAAAAAATATTTTAAGCCGGGCGTGGTGGTGTACACCTTTAGTCCCAGCACTTGGGAGGCAGAGGCAAGTGGATCTCTGTGAGTTCAGGTCAGCTGGGGCTACAGGGAGACCCTGTCTCAAAAAGACACCCCACCCCCGGCCAAATTTAATTTTTATGTGTTTGTGCATGTAAGTGCACCTGTATTATGCAGTACCATGGAGGTCAGAAAAGGGCTTTGGATCTCCTGGAACTGGAGTTACAGGGTTGTTAGCTGCTATGTGGGTGCTGGGAATCAAACCTGGGTCCTCTGAAAGAGCAGCCAGTGCTCTTAACTGCTGAGCCGTCTCTCCAGTCCCTCATTTTCCTTTCACTGTACTGTTCTGTGCCATTGATACCAGAGAAAGAAAAACAGCCTTTTGAGAATGGGGAGATGGCTTAAGTCAGTAAAGAGCTTGCATGAGGACCCAAGTTTTACGAGAATCCTAAGCACTCATGTAAAAAGCCAGCGTGGTTGCCTGTCCGTAATTCCAGTGCTGGGAGGTGGAGACAAAAGATCCCTGGAGCTCACTGATCAGCTAGTCTAGCCCATTTGGTGAGCCTTAGTGAGAGACTCTCAACAAAATAAAGTGGAAGGCCAGGCTTGACTGCCTTTAATCCCAGTACTTGGGATACAGAGGCAGACAGATAGCTCTCAATTGGAGGCCAGCCTGGTCCATATAGCAATTTTCAGGCCATGTGGAGCTTGATAGTGAGACCCTGCCTCAAAAAAAAAAAAAACAAATACTAATAAAGTGGAGAATAATTAGCCTCTGGTCTCTACACACACACGAAAAACAGCCTTACCAGAGGGCATTCAGCACGCAGTCCTTCCTGTTTTGACGGGTCCACTTGGCCCTGCTAATGGGAGTTTTTGCACTCACCTCAACTCTGAGGAGGCTTGGAGGGAAGAGATTAGTGTGACTCTGCCTAACTTGGCATTTGTTGGCAGTGTACCTTCTAGCCTCCCTCAGCACTAGTATTAAAGATCTTACACTGGGGTTCTGGGGCAATGTCAGCCTGATGTGGCAGCACTTGTTCTCCTATTCATCTGGGCTGCTTTTCCCCACAGTGGGTATCACAGGCTGAAGGAAGGGGCAGTCCCCACCATATTTGAATCCTTCTCCAAATTGCGCCGGACAGCCAAGACCAAGGGGCATGGTTACCCACCTGGCCTGCCTGATGTCAGCCGGCTGCGGCGATGCAGGAAGCGGTATGTACTACAGGAGGGAGGATGCCCTGCCCCACTGCAGGGCTGAGAGACTGGGCTTTATGGTTTTTGCCACCATCCTCACTGAACAGGGTTCTTGCTGCCTAGACCTGGTGAATGGGGATCAAGTGTTAGGCTTATAAAAGGGACCTGAAAGACCCTTGATCTGGCCTGTCAATCACTCTCTCTCTCCCTCCTAGCTGCTCTGAAGGCCAAGGACCCACAACTCCATTTTCTTCACCTCCTCCTCCTGATGTCATCTGCTTTCCTGTGGAAGAGGCTTCAGCACCTGCCACTCTGCCTGCATCCCCAGCTGTGAGGCTGGAGCCTGGCCTTAGCAACCCCTTCTCAGATCTTCTGGACCCTCTAGGTGCTCAGGCAGATGAAGCTGGCTGTAGTGCCCAGCCTTCACCCGAGCGCCAGCCTTCCCCTCTAGAACCGCGGCCTGTCTCCCCATCTGCCTACATGTTACGCCTGCCACCACCTGCTGGAGCCTACATCCAGAATGAACACAGCTACCAAGTGGGGAGTGCCTTGCTCTGGAAGAGGAGGGCTGAATCAGCTCTTGATGCCCTGGACAAAGCCCAGCGCCAACTGCAGGCCTGCAAGCGGCGGGAGCAAAGGCTGCGGCTGAGGCTGACCAAGCTGCAACAAGAGCGGGCACGGGAGAAGCGGGCACAAGCAGATGCCCGCCAGACCCTGAAAGAGCATGTGCAAGACTTTGCCATGCAATTGAGTAACAGCATGGCCTGAGAAGGGACTACCCACCAAGGTTCTGGTCTCTTCCTCAGAATCTGCCAGGAAAGGGACTTGGTCTGAACTGCATCCTCCAGAGCTGCCAGTGTCACAATAAAGTGGATGCTAGAAAGAGAGCCTGCTGTCTGGCTCAGCTGGGGTGCCAGGGTTCTCCCCAGACAGTGGCCAAAGCCTCAGAGGGTTCAGACCCTGGCACCCAGCCTCTTAGCTGTGGGGAGCTAACCACTTTTGTTCACAGCTCCTCTGCTTATGTAGTTTGTTACCCACAGTGTTCTCTAAAGGAATAGGATGTTATGAGTAGAAGGTGGTACCTGGCACCCTTTGAGTCCTAAACAGTCTTGACATAAGAAGGCCAGCCCCTTTGAGTCCATTCGTAAAAGCTAATCCAGTCCATATGAGTTGTTTTTTTTTTAAACATGGTTTCGTGTAGGCCAGGCTGGCTTCTGTAGGCAAGGATGCCCTTGAACTCCTAATCCTCCAGCTTCTACCTTCCAGGTGCTCAGATTACAGGCATGTGACCCCAGTGCTTGGTCTCTAATTTGGTGTTTATGCAGAGACATAGCAGGCTTCTGTCTACATGCTCCATCTGCCTGGCCAATCAGGAGGCCTGCCCCTGCACTAACCCACTCCTAGCCCTGTATTCCTCAAATCCAAGGGGATGTGTCAGTCACGAACCTAGGGTGCTGTACTAGGCAGGTAGCAAGCCTCCATCAAGAAAACTTTGAGTCTTCTGAAGTGTGGTAAGAGACTCTCAGGTCTTAGACACAATTATGCAGGTCCCTAGGCTTCATGGTAGCTGTGTCTGTCCATCTACAACCTCTCCTGACTGGTCCGTGGCCTTATAGCCCAAGCATATGTAAATTTCTAGTCATACCTGGCACATAGTATTCTGAAGTTTTCTTTTGGGGGCCCTGGGTGTATAGCTTTATTCATATTCTATGTAGAGGAGACAGCAGACAGGCTGGTTACAAGTGTCACAATGGAGCAGGGTTTGCAATTTGGGACTTTCACACCCTGCCCCTCACCCCAGAAGCAGAAGATTGAATGAGGCTGTCTTGGGGACATGGCTATGTGGTACAGCACAGTTGACTCACCTGCCTGGCTGGCCACTTTGGGCTGGTACTTTAGATACTGACATCCCCTACTACCAACCTTAGCTGTAGCCTGCTGCTTCTTCAAAGGACTGTTCTTTGGCATGGCCACCTGCCTCAGCCCTTGCCCTACACCTCTCTTCCCAGGTCATCCTATACCAGGCTACTTTATAGCTGGCTAGCTCTGTGGTTCTGCTAACTTCAGCTAAGGGTACCAGCCTGTAAACCAGGGCCTATCTACCTAGAGTCCCACAGCAAGGGCTGGATGGAACAGAGTAAAGAAATGAGTTCTTAAGGCCAAGAAGCATTTCCCACAAAAGATCTGGCTTCCCAGGAGATAGGACAAAGTGGGTTCCTGCACTTGGTCCCAAAAAAGGTAAACTGCTGCGCTGGGATGCAGACGTTGATGACCTGCTAGGGTGACAAGGGTGGATGCCCTGAACTGGCCAGGGCTCTCAGGAGGGGAGGAGCTGGCCTGGATGATTCCCCTAGTCCCCTCCCCATGTGAGTTGTTGACATGGGTAAGACAGGCTGAACTCACTTCTAGGACATCTAGGCCATGGGGCTACAGACTGGTGGTACGGAGGGGCAGAGGCTAGTGGTGGCAACTATATGCCAGCAAAACATGTATGCAGTGCTGCTGTGGCTTTAATGGAGGCATGTCTATGACAGAATAAATACATAGGGACATCTCTGCTGGCTTTCTGGCCCAGGTATGTACGGTGTAGGCTAGAACATGGAGCTCTGCTGGAAGCTAGGCTAAGTATAGCTTGGCTGCCCTATGGGCTGGGAGCAAAACCCTCCAAAATTCATTTCTAGGGTCAGACCACTGTTACTGGTCCCCATTCATAAGCTCTGGGGTAAGAAATCCTCACAGACTTTGGGAGAATAGGGTACAGCCCAGTTGCTGGAGATACTGCTAAGCCCTCATCCCTTGACAGTGGGATCTAGTGTGTAGATCCACAATACATCCTTGGGGAACCCAAAGCCACACTTCCAGCATCTCTACAGCTGAATGGTGTCCCTGAGCCCTGGCCTCCCACCCCAGAGAGGTGTCAGGTGGAAAGGGAGCCTGCTTCCACTTGCCATTTTCTGTGGGACCTGTGTCCACAGCTGTGCAGAAACTGGGGACCCTTGGCCCCACAGGTGTGGTCACTCTGCAGGTTGAGATGTGACCAATCTGGCAGCATCATTCTCCAAACAGGGCCCACAGAGATCCTCAGATGTCAGCACCCAGCTCTGCACACTGCTTGTCAGAGATGTGGGAGGCCAGGGAGTCTATGATGTCCAGCAGCAGCTGCTGGCTCAGCAACCGCAGTGTGGGCAGCTTAGAGACCTGCACAGATGACCAAAACTAGATGGAACCAGACTCAAGGCCTAGGGTAGGCAGTTGAGTCCTCTTAGAGTCCAGCGTGCTCAGGGCTTGGCTGGCTCTGAGGGTAGTGGGCAATGGCCAAAAGGTACCAGGCCTGTGGGAAGGGCTGGGGTCTGGAGCACTAGGGCCATAGCCTGACCTTGGTGAACTGGTGCACAATGATGTGCAGGCAGTGCCGCTTCATGTCCAGTGCCTGTGTCTTGTCAGCTGCCTCCAGAATCTGAAATGACAGTAACTGTGAGGCACTGCACTAGGCCACCTACCCACAGAGGGAGGTGTGGCCTGTGCGCACCAAGGCACTACCTGCAGCACATTCTGCACGGTCACATTCATCTCTAGGTTCTGCTTGCAGTATGCCTGTAGTCGGTTGTTATAGAAGCCGTAATAGTAGGGGGCTGCAAAAAGGTAGCTGGATGCAAGTTAAAGAGCCGCCAGTTCAAAGGATACTATCTACCTGCATTCACCCATGTATCTTGCCCTTCCCTCTCCTGGGGATGGTGCTGCTGGAACCCCACGCACCCAAGGAGCCAGGGCTCCAATTCAGGCTCTGGCTAGCTTGCTCTCTAAACTGGTTCTGAACCACTTCAGGACTCAAAGGCCCCATTCACGACCCAAAGAAAACCTGAATCCTCTCACTGCTGTGTGCACGTTTTCAGAACCTCTGCACAGTCCATTCAAGATCCAAAGTAAATGTGAATCCTCTCACGCCCATTTGTAGAACCTCTCCAAGGCCTCACTGGCCCCCAGCAGCATCCTTGCACCTCTGGTTGAAACCCCACTGACAAGGGAGTATGAGGAATCACTTCATGTCCGTCTTCCTGTCAAATAGTGATAACTAGCTCTCTTACCCCAGGTGGTTATGAGGGTTGAGACACAACCATCCTGACTGTAAAGCCTCCCTCTAGCTGCCCACCTCCTTGAAGCCCCTGGAGAACAGCAGGCCTAGCACGAGCACTGACGAATCCTCCAAATGACGAACCAAGCTAAGAGCACCAGCCAACAGGGTACATGGGCCCAAACATGCCTAAGCGGTGCTATGACTCCCTCAGTGGTGACCCAGGAACACCCATGGGTAAAAGGATACAGTGAGTCTTCAGGGGGCATGTTGACCTCACCGTAGTAGATGTAACGCAGCATAGACTCAAAGGCCTGCCTGCTGGGCACCATCTCCCCGATGGAAATATTCACCTGCCCGTCCTCTGGCATGAAGGACCGGAACATGGCCTCAAAGTAGCTGCAAACAGGGAGGCAGACCCCAGCTCTCAGGGGAAGAGCCAGCATCCAGGCCCTGTCCCACTCTACTTCAACCTACCTAGAGCGGGCAGCCAGGATGGCTTTGTGGGCAGGCCGTGGCTGGCCATCCAGCAGTAGTGTGATGTCACAGAACTCTGAGCCTGCTCCCTCCAGGTATGCCTTCATGTCCTGGATCAGAGATGTGCCTGGGGGTTGTAAAATGACCCTGAGAAGACGTCCCTCCTCAACTCTCAATGAAGAGGTGGGTTTGTATTTTAGGCTGGATATCCAATAGGTACCACCTCTCCACACTACCATGTTGCTGCCCTGCTCAAAGCTTCCCCAAGCCAGAAATGGGGGACACTAGCCCCTCTTCTCTCCTCCCTTCAGCCCTTGAGTCACCTGGAAACCAGCCCCTGGCCTGGCCCTCAGGCCTGCTGCCCCAATATCTGATTTCTCACAATGTGGCCTATGTGCCTGGCTCCTAGCCTTATGCTGGACTCCCCTCCAGCACATCTTTTGGTCTCAGGTGCCTCCAGGTGTCCAGTGACTAGGGTCAGTACATGCCCCAAAGAGAGCTGGAGTGGATGTGATGTGTCTTCCCTTCTTCACTGCATAGGACAAGAAGCAATGGAGCATAGGCAGCTGTAGCTGCCTTACTCTCACTCAACTTCGGAGCTCAGCAGTTGGTCACTTGTCCCCAAGAAATCAGATCAGTCCACCCAGCTGGAGGATCCCAGGTCACCGAGAAGTGAGCTTCATGGGTGTCTAGGCTTGCTGGCACAGTGCCTACTGTTGAAAGGCTTGTAGGTTCTTCAAGACTTTTTGCCTCTGTCCCTCCCTGCCCTTGTACCTGGGTCACAGAGCCACCCCTGCCCCCAGGGGTGCTCTCCATGGCTCCCAAGTCTCCCAACACCATCTCCCTACATCCCAGGAAGTGCAGACGCGCTCTCTACCAATGTCCACAGGCTGATCTGAGGGTGTACGAGGGGATGGCTGCTGCTTCCGCCGCACAATCTCCACAATCAGTGGGGAGGAGAGGCGCTCAAACTCCTTCATCATGATCACCTGGTTGAAGTGGGACTCCTTCACCACGAAGTTTAGGCAGTGCTCCTGGGATAGACAGGCCAGGCAGGTGAGCGGGGTCAGGCAAAGCCTCAGGTTGGGCAGCAGGGCTTGCAGTAGGAGCAAAGGGACATGCCCCACCCCACCCAAGAGGGCCCAGGCTGTTGAGCACTCCCAGATGCCAGGCTAACCCCAGCCTGCACCTTGAGCTGGCCCAGCTGCAGTCTGGCAGCACTCTCACACACAACCAGCACATTCTGCAGATCCACGGAGGCTTCGATGTACTGCCGACACAGCTGTTCAAGGCGGCACAGCTGGAAGCTCAGGGCTAACTTGTATACGTCCATGATGAGCAGAACGTCCTCCACGTGGCCTGCACCCAAAAGCCCCTGAGCCTTGGGGGACCATGGGAAAGGAGGGAGGGTCTAGAAGAGGGCCCAGGGCTCCCTCCATGGAGAAGTGGGTCAGAGCTGCTAGGTGGCAGCTGGGCCACATGCCAATTTGATGTGATCTGGGATGACTGTGGCTTGTGCCACAGACCTAGCAGCACCACCTCAATCTTCTGCCCGCTCCCTACCCTAATCCACACCACCCTCACCCCAGGCAAACCTTTCCGTGGGTACTTGATCTTGTCTGTGTACAGGAACTGCATGAGCACCTCGAAGGGCCTGGCCTCAGCCTCACGGATGGCCACATGAAACAGTGGTAGTCGTGGCCTGCACACAGCTGTATTGGGGGCCTCCCTTGGAGCCAGGGCTCCTTCCTCCTCCAGCTTCTGTGGGGAGAAGGGAGCTCAAAGCACCCTAATGGACAGGGGACACCTTCCCAGTTAAGGGGGCTGAGACAGAACTTACCTGAGCCAACCGCTCCCGAGCCTGCACGATTTTCCTACGGAGCCAGCGGCTCCGAGCAGTGACAATGGCCACATGGCCCTGCACACACTCTTCCTTCTGCATGAAGAATGATTGATATGTGAGTAAAAGCACAGTACCTTTGCCCCAGGGAACAGTGGCCAGCAGCAGGTCAGGGCAAGCACCACTTTCTGATCAGCTATGCCTCCAAGAGCCAAGTCCACTCAGCAGGCACAGCAGGTAAGACACCAATCAGGTACCTACCTCACCCAGCACAAACTCCACATCGCAGAACTGGCGGCTCTCCCATAGGCGCCCATAGTCCTCATGTAGCGTGCACTTGGGGTAGCAAGAGAACTGAAGAGGGAGAACAAAGGCCATCCCTGAGGCCAGCCACCCATGTGACCCTCAGGCCAGGGGGCAAGTGAGTGTGGCTGAGGACTACCCTGACTTGGGCCATGACCAGGAAGGACTCCCACTTCCTCTCTTATCTTTGATGGGCCGCTGGGCTTTAGCTAGGCTGTGATGTCTCCAATAAACCTGGACCCAGGTATTCAAGGAGGCCCCATCCCCTTTTCCCCACCCCCAGTGAAACAGAGCTGTCCATGATGCCAATGTCCCTGGGGCCCCTATCCCAATCACCTGTTCCTCCAGGCCTGGGAAGGGGCTGCCAAGAGGTTCCTGCCAGCCTTGCTTCTGCCCTTCTCCAGGCTGTGGGTTCTCTGGAGGCTCCAGGGCAGAGCCCAGCATGGCCTACTCCCTTACTGGTTCTACTGTGAGTTCTTCTCTGAAGCTGAGGCTCTACCTGCCCTAGTCTACACTGAGGCTCCCTCACTCCTGGTGTCACCTCAGCCTACCTGAACCTAGAACTCCCGACCCTCTCTTCCAGACTGCTCAAGAGATGCCACCACCCCACAGGCTTGACCTAGCAACAGGGACCCTTGCACAGCCCTACCCCCACTCACTGGGCTTCAGTTATCTCACTGGGGCCTGTCCTCCCAGCAGACCTCAGATCCACAAGCCACACACACCTGGAACCTGTACATTTCCCCACTGCGAATGTTGTTGTCCACAGTGCCCCCGAAGATGTACATGGCATCAGAGATGACAGCAGCTGCATGGAAAAGCCTCCCGCTGGGCAGCTGGAGAGGACAAGTAGAGAAGGAGATGGGATGGGACAGTCTCCAGCAGTGGATCTAGCTATAGCCAAGCTGTGGACAGGACATGGCTCATGTGGCCATGAAAAAGGAAAGGCTCAGGATTTCAATTCCTTGGACAGATTTCCTAGGTGCCACTTCAGGCACAGGGGGAAGCTGGGGCCATATGAATGGGTTGGGGGCATGGTAGGCTTACAGGTCCAGGGGTGAACAGAGTAGTCAGTCCAGAGTGCTACTCTAGAGAGCAAAGCCTGGGATTCCGAGGGCCATGTGTTGCTGTGTGACCCAAGCAAGTTCTTCTAGGGGCCTGTCTCCCCAACTGTGAAAGAGTTCCTGTTTTAAGGAGTAATGGAATTTTAACAAGGGTCTCTGACACTCACCTCTGAGGCCAGCTGGGTGGGCTGCTTAGCCGAGGTGGTGCCAAAGTCTAGGCCAAACACATCACGGGACTTCTTAAAGCCACCCCGCTCCTCTGAGGTTAGGGTAGGTGCCTCCTCAGAAGCGGAAGCACGCTCAGGCACCTCAGCCCCACCGACCTTGAAGATGAGACATGAATACTGGTCACCATCCTGCCAGGGCTTGTCATGGGTTCCAGACAAGGGATGACCTATAGGGTGAGGCTTTGAAGGTGCCCAGCTGTTAGCTATGGTGCTTCCCAGGAGGTCTCAGGATAGCAGCACAGTGTAGACAGGTGTGAAAAACCTATAGACTACAGGCAGAAGGGATTAGAGGGCCAGAAGGAAGGAGTCCAGGACTCCTCAAGTGGCTCTTCTTAGCTATATGGAGCCTCGGGAGCCCCTTGAGGCTAGGGGTACAGGCTAGAAGCCACTGGCACCCAGCTAGTGGGTCAGCCCTGGGTCCCTGTGGCAGCACTCACCTCGCTGTCAGAGCTGGGCTGGACAACCTCCCAGGTCTGGAAATCCACGTCATAGCAGTGCAGCTCATTGGGCAATGTGTTGTCTGCTGCACCCCCAAACACATAGAGATGGCGGTCAAAGGCCACCATGGTGTGTCCATAGCGCCGCTGTGGAGGGGGTGGGGAGCCCCGGAGCAGGTGCTCAGTAGGGATGCGTGTCCACCTGGGGGCATGACCATGAACAAGTTCTGGGGTAGGGGTTCTGCACTCAGTCTCCAGTGAACACATTCCCAATAAAAGGTCCTCCTATGATGGCCCCCAGAAGTCCATATAGTGCCAGCCCAGAATCTAGATGGGGGAAGGGCACAGACCTATGTGTCCAGCATCCCTTTTTGTATTTAGCCCTGCCCACCTCTACACAACCGACCATGAGGCCATCTCCCACCACCACCATGGCAGCTATGACAGGGACCTCTTCCAGTCTGCTCTGGGAATAGAGCTGTGCAGATACGTGTGAGATCCCAGTTGCTGTGCTCACCGCCCAGACAGCAGAGTCCCTACCCTAGAAGTTTCTGGTCCCCACATCTTGCATTTCCAGTACGTTTACCCTCCAAGGGGTGCACAGAACCTTCCAAAAAATCGTCATTTTGGCTCAGTTAACTGAAGAACCAGGATACATGTTGGTTATTCCATCTGGCTCCATGCCTGCCCCAGCGTTCAATAGGATTCCCTCCACCCAGGATGCCTGGGCCCTTCTATCCATCCCCAATCAGGACAGCAGATCCTGAATCCCTCCCAAACCCTGCTCCCTCGCCTCTGTTATTTCCAGTTAGACGCTAACCCCATTACAGGGTCCAAGGTCACCTAGCAGCCAAGAAAGGGATAGGCACTGCTGTACCATGCCTATCTTCTGCCATTACGAGATCGGTGCTGGCCACCTTTGTTAGTGGTGGCAACAACCCAGCTATTCACAGCCTTCACACTCAGACTTCATACTTCTGACTCAGGTCCTGTCTTGCTGAGCATACCCAAGGGCCTGTGAAAGTGCCAAACTCCACATTCCAGGCTGCATGTTCCTGCTATATGTGGGAGCTTAGGAGGAGACTGCGACCATCACCAGACATAGGCGTGAGCATTAATTGTGCCCCTCCCGACCCAGGGAACTCACATCTTGTCCTTGAATTCAAACTGGAAAAGGTTGTTGGTTATCTTGGCTCCACTCTGTCCTGAGAACACAAACATCTTGTCCCGGCACACAGCCACAGGGAAGTTGCAGCAGGATGGTGGGATCTCGCCACTCTGGGCAACCTGGAATGGGGTTTTATTTTAGGAATTTCTTTTATGAATGAGATAAACAGCTTACACCCCCATCTTACCCACCCACAAGAGCCTAGTTTTAACAAGCTGGGTCTAAAATCATGAGGTTAATTTAGAGCAAAAATATAAATTTCTACAAGAGAATTCAGGCTCCAAGGAAACTAGTGAACAGCATTCTGCCCTCGGTATGTACAAAGGAGGGTGTACTGGATCAAAATCACATCTGTCACATGTGGTACTCTGCCCATTCAGGGCTCAAAACGTCTTTCTTTTTCTTTTTTTCCATTGCTGGAGATCAAAACCAAGGATATGTACATGCTATGCAAGTGCATAGCACTCAACCAGCACAGAGCTGCACCTTCAGTCCAAAGCTTTCTCTCTCTCTCTCTCTCTCCCTCCTCCCTCCCTCCCTCCTTTGTCTCTGTCTCTGTCTCTGTCTCTGTCTCTCTCTCTCTGTGTGTGTGTGTGTGTGTGTGTGTGTGTGTGTGTGTGCTTGGAAACCAAAAAGAGAATAATATATGTGTGATC